AGAGGTGGGCTCGGCCCGGGGTGGGGGCTGCTTCTGCGGGGGGCGGGGGCTGGCCGTGCCGCGGCCCAATCCCACAGGCACCCCGGAGTAGCACGTGCTCCCCAAAGTTTCAAGGTTCCGCCGGTCAGGGGGGCTTCGAGGACGTCACGTCACCTGCCGGAGCCTCATCCCCCATCCGGGCGTACCTGCCTGGCTCAGGTGTAAACCTCAGACAGGCTCGGGGGAGGGAGGGTCCTGGGGCCCCCGCCAGGTGTGCAGGAGACGTCGGGAGGGAGGTTGGTGATATCGGGGGGCTCTTGGGGAGTCCCCCCGCTCACCCCTCCCCGCTGCCGCTTGGCACCAACTTAAGGGCGATTCTGCAGGCCTGCTACACCCGGGCTCTCCGCGTGGACCTCTGTTTGGTCCTCACCTCCCACCAGCGCGCCCCCGTCTCCACGTGCGCTAGAGGGGGGCCACATCACAGAGGCAACGTTTCGGGGAGACACCGGCCTGGCGCTGGAGCGCAGCCCACGGTTCCTGGCCTCGGAAAGCCGCGGCCCCTCTCTGCGCCTGTCTGCTCCTCCTGAGCGGAGGGGGGCGTTGGGGGCCCCGACCTCCCGACTGTCGTGGGGCTTCGAGAGGTGGTGTTTCTGCGTCTGCCCCCCCACCCAGGGGGTGAGGTGTATGCGGGAGCAGCCGATCCCCCAGGGGGTTCCGCAGACGTGGCTCAGATCTCACGGGCGGCGGAACCCACCCCCGCGGCCAGGGGAGAACGAGGGTCTCCTCTGGGCCCAGGGAGGAGGGGGTTTCACGGAGCGCCTGGGACATGCAGGTGTCCCAGGAGCAGGGGTTGTGCCTGCCCGGGGTTGGGGTGGGGGCCCGAAGGACTGGGTGCAGGGCCAAGCTGAGGGGCCAGAGGGGTGAGCCTGACCTGAGCTGCCTGGGGGGCCGGGGGCAACAGCAGATGTTTTCTCTGCCTCTCCCGCTCGGGGGCCCCGTCAGGGCACCTGGATGTTCACGTGGGCGCTGCTAGGGGCTTCCCGTTGGGCTGGACAGGCCGCCTCAGATGCAATCCTGCCTTAGTAAGGCGGGGGTGTGGCCTGGCTCCTGGGGGTCTGGCCCCTGCCCCTCATGGCCTGCCCGCCACCCACCAGGGCACCTGGAGGACCTCCGGGCCAGTCCTGTGTCTAGCCTGCACACACCAGGGGGCTGGCGAGGGGCCTGGAAGGCCGTGCTGCCTCCGTCTGTAAGCTGGGAGCTGCCGATCGGGCTGCGGCCGGTGAGCGAAGTAAACACCCAACAGCTGTGGGCGGAATGTTCCCCGCTGGCTGAATCCGGCAAGAAAACCCAGCGGTTTAGGTGCAGGGTGTGTGCATGGCAGACGAGTCAGGGGGAGAGGGGACCCCAGACTGACTGTGCTGGGATCATTAGGAGTCAGCTCCCAGCTTGGATTCTGCAAAGGGAGAATCAGGCCCAGAGAGGGACAGGCACATGCCTGAGGTCACACAGCAAGTGAGCAGGAGACTCGGGGCCACGGTGGGTCACCCTGGCAGGGGCCTAGGCGAGGTGGCACGAGGGGACGGACACATGTGGCTTGTTCCTGTGTGCTCAGACAGAAAGGAGGCCAAGGGTGGTGCTGCCCCTTAATGTAAACAAACGGATTATAGAAGAAAAGTTTATGGGAAGCCAGCATTGCTCACCCAAACCAGACAACACAAAAGCAAATGTCTCCCACGTACCTTATATCCTCATGTTACAATGTACATTATATGTATGTGTGACTATATGTATTATTTGATATGTTATACACACGTTACTTACGCATATCACATACCTCTCATTATATACTACAGTGTGTTTTAAAAGTGTGCGTGGTTCCGAACGTCACTCACATATTGCATGCTGGGAAAAGCTCCCAGGGCGTGAGCCCGTGACGCTGCTCTTTTGGGTGAAGGTCTGTTGCCAAACCATGCACACGGCAAGCGAAAGCAAACCCACCCCCAAGGATGAGCTGGGAGGGACTCCCAGGGTCAGGGAGGGACAGAGGACAGCTGAGGGGGACAGTGCGGCCCCAGGTCGGGCCTGGTGGGTGCCGGGCCGCGGGTGGGGCGGACGGGGCGTGAGCACCAACTCTGGGCCCGGCGCTTTGCACCCACTCACCTGCAGTCCTCTGGGGATTCGGATATTCCTGCTTCAGCTTCTCATGAAACAGTTCAAACAGAGCAGACTGGAGAATAGCGGAGTAGAACTGCCCTGTCCCTGTCCTCCCGCTGCCCTGAATTCGATTACTTCCCACGCGGGTGCTCTTTTGGATTTTTTGCAAGAAAGAGACCACGACAGGTGTTGCTGAGGTCCCTCTCTCTCCCCCCGGTAGCTGCCCCAATCCTTTTCCTTCTCTCCCACCTGGGAAGGGGCCACACGTGCCACCGACTCTCTCTCTTCCCATGACACGAACTTACGACGTGACTGGGCGCGTGGGTCACCCCCAACCGCAGCGTGGCCCTGTCTCCCAACGCCACACGGACCCACGCCTGATCTACAGCTGGAAACCCTGGCGCGAGTTCACGCGGTCGTGAGCGACACAGGCAGGGTCACACCCTGTTGCCGGGGCTCCAGTAACCACGGAGGGAAGTTTCTCCTCCGCCCGGGGCCGCCCGGGGCCAGCGTGAGGGTGCTGGGTTTATTGACGTGACTTTGGGGGGGCCTGGGGGGCTTCCGGGCAGCGCCAGGCCTCGGGCGGCCCGGGCTCCGTGGGAGAAGGCAGAGGGCAAAAAGAGCCTGCCCTTTCGGCCCCGTGTTTTCTACAGAAGAGAAATCAATAGCTCCTCGCAAGCAGGCCGCTGCAGGCAGAGTCTGCGGCCCTGGAGGTGACCGGGGGAGGCCGCGTCTCCACAGAACCCGGGCAGACTCGATCCCGGGAGATTTATGCCACCAACGCTTGCGGAACTCTGGGTCGGGGAGGGGGGGGGGACGGGTCTCAGTCACGCACCCCCGTCTCTCTGGCTGAGACGTGGGTCAGAGGGCCCGAGGGTGGCGATGTAGGGGGAGGGGGGCGGGGGGGCGGGCTGGGTTTGCTGAGCTGGCGGCAGCCTATCCGGGAGACTATGAGGAGGGAGGGTGCGCCGGAGGGCAGACGGCAGCCGCAGCCTGGAGGGGACAAGGCCACCAACGGGGCTGGTGGTGATGGAGGAAAGTCTGCGGGACCTCCACGCACGGGCGTGCGACCGAGGGCCCCACCACGGACCTGACCGTCCACACTCCACTGTGAGTAGACACGTGTGTGCACACTCAGCCCCAAGCACACACGCACCCTCCCAAATACACACGCACTCCCCACACACGCACACGCACAGGTAGCGGGGCTTCTCCCGCCCCTGGAGTGCATGCACACATGCACACACACATGCTGTGTGTCAAAAAGAAAAAGAAAGGAGAGAAAGAGCGAAGAAAGTCCCTTGAAAAAACAGCAGTGATGGTAATTCGAGTGGACGATGGCCGTAAATCTTGGGGGCTGCTAACAATAATGAAGTATGAAGGCAGTGCAGCGAGATTAACAGAGATGTTTAATGCTTTCCCTCCCAGATCGATAGGCTGTGCTGAGATTTTCCCGACACGCACGCCCCGCCCAGCTGGCCAGGTTTTGGGCAGCGGGGACCCCTCCGTCCCTGCAACCCTGTCTCCCTCCTCTCTGCACCGCTAAGAGCTGAATGGGGGCGTGGGGGCGAGAAATCCCATCTCCCACGGCCACATCCCCGAGCCTTGGCTGGCCAGCCGTGACCCGGAACGCAGCAGGAACTTGCTCTCGCCGATGTCGCTGAGTGGCCGGCCACCCCGCTGCCTGCCGGGCCTGGGGCCCTGTTGGATTTGCAGCTCTTTGCCACGGGCCTGGGGTTCCTATCCAGCCCTGGGAGGGGCCGAGCGGCCCGGGGCCCCTGGCCTTGGGGTGCGGAGGACCAGGCCTTGCCCGAGCTGCCCCCCCTTGCTGCAACGTGACTTTCCTCCCTCTCCCCTGGTGCAGAGGGTGGCTGAGAGTGGCGGGGTAGGTGTTTATTTTAAGGCGTCAGGGCCTCCCGGGTGAGTTCTGGGCCAGGCCTCCCGGGCAGAAGCTTCGGTTGAAGGTCTGCATTCCTGGCTGCATAGGGGTCACTGACAGCAGGCCCCCAGCCACGCTCAAGGTCAGATGCACCCTCAGGGCTACTTGTAAGGAGGCTCTGGGTTGGTGACTTGGGAGCCTCAGCCCTCGCCAGCACCCGCCCCCAAGCCCAGAGCAAGCACACGGCAGACCCTGGTTCTGTGCTCAGTACTCCCAACACCAGACCTCCTTGTCTGTCCTTCCTGTACTGCAGGGGCGGGGCCCGGCTCCCTGTCCCCCCCCACCCCCCCACAGGTGACACTTCGGGCATGCTCCAGGCTGTGCTAGGTTTGGGAACAGAAGGCTGAACAACACGCAGTTTGTGCTCCAGACAGATCCCTGCCTGCCCTGGGCTTCTTGGCTTGGGTCTGCGAACAGAATCAGGGGCGTCTGAGTGTTGATGGCCAAAAGCAACAGCCTCATTTGCTCAAACTCCTCATCGGGGTTAGGGTTCCTGCCCATTACCAAGGGGGGCTGTGAGCCCGAGGGTGTGGACTTGTTCACCAACGGGAACACGGCGTTGGGCATCTTACCGCGGCTGCCGCAGGTGACTGGAGAGACCATTCAAGCTCTTCAGACAATGGCAGTAACGTCCCCAGCTCTAGACCTTGCTGAAGAATCTTGTTATGTCCCCGCATTCATGAAAAAGCACATCAGTGACCAGATTACGAGTTTGCTCTTACATATTTTGATAACTGGGGGCGCCCGGGGGGCTCAGTCGTCCAGCATCCGTTAAGTATCCGACTCCGGCTCAGGTCATGATCTCACTGTTGGTGGGTTTGAGCCCCAAGTCGGGCTCTGTGCTGACAGCTGGGGGCCAGGAGCCTGCTTCGCGTTCTGTGTCTCCCTCTCTCTCTGTGCCCCTCTCCCACTCGCTCTGTCTCTCTCTCTCAAAAATAAATAAAAACGTTAAAAAAATATTTTGATAACTGTATTTCAACAAAGAAATACAATCCTAGGGGTTTTGTTGAATGTGTTACAAAATGCTCCTTTGAGACGACGGCGTCTCTGGGCTCTCGGATGCTCGAGGGGTTCATGGTGCACAGACCGGTGAAAGCCGCTGCTGGCCAGTCGGAGCCGGTGGGATGGGGGCCGGACGACCAGTTGGGGGGGG